GCCAGTCTTGCATTGCAACTTGTTGCATCTAATTTGTTGTCATTACAGCAGTCATTTTTATGCACATCTATAATCTGCACCATTAATGCTACGAGGAAATGTCCTCTTGTTTCTGCATTCGCAGCAGCCTTTTAAGAAATATTTACAGCCAAGTTCTAAAATAAGCTTTTAGATGGATTACTTCTATAGCATTTTTAGCCATGTGAGTAAAACACAGATCAGATGTGATCAGATTAAAACTACAGAAAAGCATGAGCAATTTACTTACTAGATGTAGCTGAACTATAAAGGTTTCATTCATTTGATTTTGGGGAAGGTGAAGGGCATGCAGTTTACAGTTGCAGTGTTCTGCATGTTGCCAAAAGCTGTTCTCCTGAACTCGCAAAGGCTGTTTTCAGAGAGGTAGCTGACCATAAATGGGACATCAGTCATTATGAGTGCATCATCAGTTCAACTGGAATTGGTCAATACAGCAATTATGCTAATATTTGCACAATTACCTTTGATATTTGTTATGGCTTGGACTATACGTGAACTTGCAGTAAAGAAAAGATCAGTAAGGGACAAGAAGTGCAGATAACATTCTGTCAGCTTCTTTGTTTAGATTTTGTTAGGTATAATTTTTCATAAAATCAGCTTTAGCAGAATTTACTCTGAAGAACATTTGCAATATAAGTGTTTTGTGAAAAGTCAATGTGATACTAAGCTTAAGGTTTGTATTGAAGAACTGTCTCTGATCTGTTGATGTTGAACATGTCGTCTGTCAGAATAAAGGAGATTTAAAAATTTCTTTCTTTCTTAACTAGCTATTGGTCCAACATTATAACAGCATAGCATTTGGCATCTGAATCGTATTTCACATTAAATCGTCTTTGAGTTTTTTAATAAACAAGATAAGCAGTTTGTTTTGCATCTCCTACTCATGGTTCTGAGGAGGCTTTGGGAGATGACGCTTTGTTTAATGTTACAATTGCCAGGGCTTTTAAGTTATCTGGAGATCTTGCCAATAGTCTTTAAAAGAACACAGCTAATTGATGCTTCCAGTTACTTAGTATTTCTGGCCTAAGTGAGCACTGGGATCTTTGTTGTGCATGTCTGTCTTCAACAGTATAAAGTCACACTGAAGGGTTTTTTGAAATAGCTAAAAGCAGTATGTAAAAGGATTAGTAAATGGACGTTTCTACAAAAATAACTATATTGTATTGCATTCCAGTATTTAGAAGCTTTCCTTTGTAAGTAAACTGCTTTTAATGGTTTTAGGAAGAGCTCTTTCTCAGAGTCGCCATTGCTGGATTTCATTTCTGCTGATAATTGAATTCTTGAATAGATTTTTCAGTTTACTTCTGTAATAATGTATTGCCCTTATTTTATGCCTGAGACTCTGAATAAGCCAAAATGTTGCTGCCAGCAGGTTGCCTTACCTCCTGTTGGTACCCTTTTCTTCAACAGTCTTATTTATTGGCCGTCTTGGCTGTTCACTCTTGCATTTGTCTTTTATTTTCCACTGGCATATATAACTTTCTAACTGTATTCTGGATGTCCTGCTGCCAGATTCAGAGTTCAGTGGCTGACAACAGTGCTACGTTTCTGTTCCTTAGACATGCATCTGTCAAAATAACTTTTGGTTCCTTTAAGCTTTCCTCTAGCAAGATGGATGCTGAGTCCTTTTTGTAGTTCCTTTGCCACATCAAGAATTGGGAAAAAAACTTTTCATCTGTCTATACTAGAGAGTCTTCATGAGGCCTCCTGGCCTGCCACTTCAGACTTCCTTAAGGTTAATTTGAGTTTATTACTAATCTTTAAATATCTCTGAGCTCTGCAGTAGGTTTTTCCTTTTTAAGTGGTGATTGGAGTGAGACCTTAATATTCATATGATACAAGTGTTTTTTTCATATGCTGTATTGTCAGTGAAGCCGTATTAGTTGCCTATTGAAACTGAAGAAGAAAAAACTTTTTTTTTTTTGGTGAATATGGTGGGTATACTGCCTACAGGACTTTGAGTATATTTCTCTGTGAATGAAGATAGTGGTAACAGAACCTATTGTGTTTATTTTCTCTCATGCTACAGTAAATATCATGTTCCACCATGTTGATGCATTTATACAAAAATTTCTTAGCAACTTTAGAAAAATGACAGAGTAGATGTTAATTCTAGCTCTTCCTGTACTAACTGCATTCATCATCTTGGTGCTAAGCCACTGAAACTTAAAAGTACAGTAGTAAAATACAAATAAGCACTCTCCCAAGTGTTGCATCATCCCAACAAATAATTGGATTTTGCAAACATTGGATGATGCCCCGTAAGTCATTTTATGCCTCATGAAGATGCAGAAGAGCTTCTCTGCATCACTTCTTTAAATTTTAAGGTAATTATTGTAATATACTCTGATGCTATTTCGGAGTAATAAATGGTAATTGTGGTCATTGTGTGTTTTATCAAGACTACAGATACTGAAAAATAAGCTAGACTACAAAGTGGGTTTTTTTATTGAAATGAAGCACTGGGGTGACTATGTGGAATGTTCTCCTGAATAAATGTTTTAAATATTTTTTTTAATCTATTCTTTGTGTTTTTCATGAAAAGAGTGGATGCATGAATCTTCTTCCATGCAAGATGCTGTATTGCCAATCTGATACATCAGACAAAAGATGGAAATTTATGTAAAGAGTTTTTAGTACTGTACAGGGAATTTGAGGTGGAGAGTGTAGAATTTGCTGTTCTGATAATGATATAGTGTATTGTGGCATGGGTTACTTCAATGTAGGTCAGAGAAATTGGAAAAAAATGAAGAAGTCCTAGGAGGATCGAGGGGCATTTAAATGTTTATTTCGCAGCAAGGTTAATGGGCTACTCAGTACGAGAGGGGCGGGAAAATGGCATTTTTATACTAAACTAAGGTAAACCAGTTTCCTTCTTGTTAATAAAATCCTGTATTTTTATGAACTTGCTGTAATCTCACCAGCTGTAAGAATAGTGTTGTGTCACTACTTAGACTTGTCTAGCATTCTAAACCATTGAAGCAATAACAGGGGTGTATTTTTAGTGAGGCATGGATCAGATTCATCCATTTTTTTTTAAATTGCACTACCACTGCCACGGAATTGACTTTTTCAGAGTTTAAGAATAAGATTTCAGAGCAGCGTCAACGCAGCTCACTTTTTCTGTCTGAGGGCGTGTATTTTAAACAGTTGGGAGCGGGGTCTCCAGTCGCTGTTGGTGCAAGCCGAGGGCAGGTAGCAGCTGAAGGCGCTTTCAGGGGAGCGGGGGCAGCCGGTGCTCAGGGGCGGCTACTCTCCGGTCTGGCTGAAGCTCCTGCTCTTTGCCTGGATCGTCAGCTCTTCCTTCGGGTCTGCCATAGCAAACAGCCATTTGCTCCAAGACTTCAGGGACTCCTGCAGCATTCTTTGTTCCCAAACTTTTATGAATTGCTTGCTTTAAACCCGAGTAAATGTAGACAGGCTTTAGCATCATTTTAACGGTATATGTACATATTGAACATTTGTGCTAGCCAATGCATGGGAGGGGAAAGGAACTCTCTGGTACTTGAATTTGTATTTAAAGACTGTTTCTTGACTTCATTTTAACTTTTGCAATTCTTATCCGTTATTTTAACCATATTCATGTTATGTTTAATGTAGCTTTTCTCTATTACGGAGTAAAAGCCTGACACTTCTGGTAGAAAATAATTTACTGCTTTTTGTTTCAGATGAGGTTCTTTGCAGGTTTTTCTGTCTTTTTGGTCTCAAGGGAAGTTGTAGTGTTGCACTACATTGCATTTGAATCACAAGTGGTGTTAATGCAGTAGAAAATTGTAATTAGTGCTCCCCAATTAACTTGCCACTAGTCCCGTTTTAGTGCATACAAGTACAGAAACACAAACATGTAGGCTCACTTACAAAGTGAGTGTGCCAGTGGGATTTTTGGGAAAGCGCTCAGGCAGACGGGATCCAGGGAGCAGCTCGTACAGGTGCCTCCTGGTACTGGAGGCAATTCTCTGCTGCAGGTTGCCATGAGTCAGCACATGGGGTAGTAGTGCACATTACATACGAGGCAAAGAAGAAAGAAAAGAAAAGCAGGTAGAGAGGGGGAGGAGAAAGTGAATAAATTGATCGAGATGTTTAAATAAGATTTGCTAACTCAAGAGGTAAATGAATGTTGGAGTTGACTGCTTTGGTTTTTTTATAAACCGTATGGTCACATTTGTTTGTAATATTAGTTTAAATGAGGAAGATACTGTTCCGTTGCTTAACACATAGGTGTGTTCTTCCAAACTTAATTGGTAGAAGTTATTCTTGGAAGTGTATGGATATCGTATGGCCAGGACAGATAATTTGTATAAATGCGTTGATTGGGTGATTATGATACAATCTTATCATAACTCTTCGTATTTTCCTTCAAAGGAGAAACAGAATTAGTTGAAGAAACCTGGGTTGTTACAGGTTATTCCCTTCTAGTCATAATCTCAGAATATTTCCAAGTATGTTGGGTGAAAAACAAGTGGACTATTGCTAGTAAATCCTGAAAATTAGAAACACTGGATTTCTATCCACAATATCCTAATAGTAAACAATAACATAATTAACAGTGTAGGTACACTCAAAAGCTGAATGAACACTATCTTCCTATTTTTGGTGTGGACTTCTTCATGTTTACTTGTGTTTTAAATAAGTAAAAATGCTGTTCTTGAAACCATGAATTTTAATACTTTTATAATTTTTTTTTATTCTGAATATATTGTATAATGTCAATATAAATATAAAAACCAAGATAGAAGGAAATGGATCAGGAGACGTGTCTATAAATGGGCAATTTTCAAGGTGATGACTGTGTGAAGGATAATTAGTTAGCCAGAGATGTCAACATAAAATACAGACTTAAATTCATAATTGGAAAGGGGTGTTGTATGGGGGGGTTGGCTTTTTGGGAGTTGGCTTTTGGGGGGTTAGTTTTGTTACAAGTGCCTGCTTTCAGTGACTTAAGGCTTTCCTTCCTCTTCCAGAAAATGCTGGGACAGAAGAGATGAGTACTACCTTTACTAAGGCCTAAAACTGCCTGTTGAAAAACGATCCTGACCAGGCAATATACGAATGGCCCAAGGAAGCCAGCAAATTGATATTCAGGTTTTACATGACCTGCGACAGAAGTTTCCTGAGGTACCTGAAGGTGTTGTATCCAGATGCATGTTACAGGTCAGTGTTCTGTTAATGATTGTACAAGTAAGCAGTATTGCTTATTGTAAGTGTTATGTATGGGTGTCTCCTTCGAAAGCAGGTTTTTTTCTTCCTATTTTCCTTTTTGAGTGAGGCAAGTATACATAGCCAATTTCTTTATGTTGCACAGCAAACTAAATGTTAAATTGGCCTCTCTTTTTCCATGTCTAATCAGGGGTGGTCCAAGGTAAACCAGCCTGTAAATCAGTGTGTGCATGGAGACTACAGTCTCACCAATCAGTATGCTCGTGCCTTTTGGCCATCTCAAGAGCCAAAACTAACTGTGGCAAAAGGAGGGATGCAAAGCCAACTTGAATGCAGCAGGGGCGATTTAAGGCAGTGCTACAAATTTTTTTTTGAAGTAGTTTTGCTATCTGGTCTCCGTCAGGCTTTAAGATAATTAGGGAGCCCTTGCCTGCATGCAGGTTGGCCCCACTGCTTTCCGTTCCCAGCTCCCTTGGCCTGCAGAGTCAGTGCTGGTGGCCTTCCATGTCTTCTGCAGCAGGGAGTGTAATGCAGGCACACCCAAGTTCTCTGAGTCAGCCTGAATCAGGCAGGACTAGGTGGTTGTAGCCTAGCCATGTTAGACCTGAGTGGGTGTGATGCACTGGTGTGTTTCTGCCCAGTGCTTCCCAGGGCTTTGGCTGCCAGATGGGCTTCATTTATTTTGTTGTAGCTTTGGAGCCTGTACTGCTAATCTATGGATTTCTATTGGGCTTGGAAGTAACAAAGCATTTTTGTCTGGTACTGCAGGTAGTGCTAAGGCTATGGACTGCCATATCATCAACTTCTACCTCCAGCTGTCTGTTTTCTATACTGCCACTGTCAGAATACTCATGCCCATATTTTATATCAACTTCTGCTGTATAACATCACATTAGTTACTTCAGCAGATAAATTAATATGCCCATCCAAAGCTTGACATAGGGACACCTGAATGCTTAGAGTTAAATGGTGATAGACTTACTTAACTATGTTGCTTAAACATGTTTGCTTTGCATTTTCCAGTGATCCCAAAGCATCCATACTGATTGGGTTTTTTGCATTATCTAAGGTATTCAACCTTTGAGTACTCTGGATAATAAGAGGATTGTCTGAATGTTCATACTGATCATCAATATGCACAACTTGATTGGACAAAAGAGTTCATGGTCATGAGTTCCCAGAAGCTAGCTGTCTGGGACATCTGTGGTTATGAGTCAACATTCTTTATATCATAATTGTTTGTCTTGCTTTTTTTATATGTATTTTTACTTATAAAATACATATATGTGTATACTTACATATGTATATGTAGTCACACACATGCATCCAAACAGTGTTTGTACTGTTGGGAGTAGAAGTGTGGCTGTGCCAAGTAAATGTTCATATGTTCAAGACTTTATCATGACTCTCCAATACATACTAGAGTAAGAAGCTGTGAAAAGTGCAGTTCTTTGAGAGAATTGGTTTTGATTTGCAAGAGGGCAAAATTCTGCTCAGGGCTCTTGAGGTTTCAAGCTTTCCCAACCCTTTCTTTCTAATTATTTAGCTGAAGAGGAAACTGAACCAGACTATAAATTGCCTGTATTTATTCTCAGGATTGTACATCTCTGTTTTTATATTAGTTCTCCATAGGACTAATCTAAGTCTTATACTGCAAGTACAGTTTTGTCTTTCAAATATGAGAACTGCTTGTTGAGCATGGTCAATGGACTTGACAGAGTGAATGCATCAGTAATCACCTTTTGAATGTAATTCTTGATAAATTTAAAAGCTAGTGCTTGGCTCTTGAGACACTCAGCAGTGTTCATAGCATTGAATACTGTGGCTTTGGGTTTTTTTATTAAGAGGAGCCTTATAACTGTGGAGAAAACATCTCATACTTTGACAGAGATATGGGAGAAGGTTTTAGATTTTGAGGGAGTGTCTTAGGTCAGCTTTCGTAAGAGGCTTTTTAAAAAATACTCTGGTAATTAATTTTCCACATGTGCTTTTATTGTTGTTAACTGAGAGCTTGCAAGTTTCACCAACAAAATCCTGTCATGTTGGTGGTTCTTTGAAATTTCATGAGCTCTGGTTTCTCTGAATCAGTTAGCTTCTTGCTGTGCTACTCCTCCAAGATAGTGGGGTTGGGGGGGGGGGGGGGGGTTGTTTGTTTTTGTTGAAGAAGCCTAACATGACCTCTTTAAACCAACAAATTTTGTACTTGGACTGCTGGTAAAGATTGGAAAGCAGAATTTGACAGTACTTTTGCATGTGTTTGCAATACTGCTGGAATAGTGTCTGAATCCTGAGTTCTGCCCTCTTGTAGTTGAACATAGCGGAAGGAATTTCTGAAAAATGCAGTAACTATGGTTTAGGTCAGAGATAAGTACTTAAGGACGTTATAGGGTATAAGAAATGGTGCGTCCGCCTTGCCCCCATGATACCTGATGTGCAAGCATCATGTGTCAAGGTGAAGTTGTTTTTAAACCAGGAAGTGTAAGATATCCCAGGAGAGAACCTGTCAGAATTTAAGCAGTTACGCAGTTTGTAATGATATTGACAAGAGGCTTTTATAGCAAGGAAAGTTCCTTCAGATCACTGTGGATTGTGCAGGATAACTATACAGATGCTTCAGTCCTTCTCTTTGAATTTTTTAGCCAAACACTTTCAGCTTGTTTTTAAAGGAAGGTTTATAGCATTATGTGCTTATAATGAAAAACTGAGGGATAAACAGAGTATGCGTATGTCTTGAGGTGAATAGCCCACTGTTGAAATACCTAAACAATATCTAGAATACTAAAAAACGGAGGACCACCAAAAATATAATAGGAGGAAATTTAAACCTGTGTAATCTAGGAAGTAAGAAGTTCTATTACTTTCTTGGGCTGACAGCACTGAATGTTACTGAAAAGTTTTGCATCCCTCCATTCTTCCCAACAAGCCTCCTGCATTCAGCTCTCCCCTTCTCCTCATTGAAAGGAGTCACTGCAGCATCCCCAGTCTCTGGACATTGTCCCCTTCTGTTCTTTTTTGTGTCTGGAGCATTCTGTAACTACCTGCTCCTCAAGTCTACGTCCTTTCCTTGCTTCCTAGTTTCCCTCCAACATTCTTATTCTTTCTTTTTTTTTCTTTCTCTTTCAGGGTGCCAACATTTTAAACTCAATTGGGACATGGGCAGAGCTAAGATGAGGGGTATTGTTTTGCTGGAATATGCTCAGTTCTGCCATCAACCGGTTCTCTGATCTGTAAAGAGCTAGAAGCGGTTGAAACTCTGCCTCTGCCAGCCAGAAGATGACAGGGGTTCCATGTGCCCCCGTTTCCCCTTTGAGTTCTCCAATTTGCACATTGACGTCACTGAAATTTTGGAATTGATTGGATGCAGTCTTAAAAAAGAAAAAAAAAAATTGTCCAAAGAAATGCATTCAAGCTGAATGTAAGGGCCTTGCAAGCTTGGCCTGTTCCTTTTTGGTTTGGTAATTTTAGCCTTTCTGTTAATAATTTGAATTCACTTAAGTTCATGCAAAATCTGCCTTTAAGATCTTTCTGGCTTGTTTTTCTGTGGCATCCTATCTTTTTCCCTTTTCTGGCTCCCTTTTCTCCTTTGCAATGAATACAAGGCTATTGTTCTTATCTTTTCTTACCCACTGTTCTGTCTGTGTGTGATTCCTTTCTTCACTACTAACTTCATTTGATTACTTTGTCCTCTGGTGCTTATTCCAAACTACAGCAAATATGCGTACCATCAGTTTGACCTGTTTCCATATATCTCCAGACTTTTCTGCAACAATCCTTATATACAGCTGGCTAGTTAGATAGCCTTTAGGGAATCCTGTTATTTTAAAAGGGTTTGTGGCTGGGGTTTTTGTGGGATATCTTTTTTTTTTTTTTTT